CCTGAGGGAGTCGCTCAGGTCCGCGCTTGGAGCGCTCAAACTTGGTGTCGCCGTTCTGTGGGTGGTCCCCACCCTTGCCCACAGTTGCGACGTCTAGGGAGCTAGTAATGCAGGTGGTTCGTCTGCTGCGTCTTTTGAGTCGGGGCTCCCTAGTAGAGCGTTGGTGGTTTGAAGCGGATGCGGCATCCCCCAGGCTCGCATCGGCTTGGACGTAACTATGTAGTGTGATGGAAGCTAGGTGCGATCGTGTGCGTGCGGCCAGGGGCCGTGGGTGGGGGTCGTTGGGCGTAGGCTCGTCACCGCGCGGGTCTCTGAGTCTGGGCCCACTATCCCCGATGTCTTCAGGTGTGGCTGTCTGGACGCAGGTCTGGGCCAGTTGCCCCCCAGCCTGCGTGCTCCACCTCAGTTTTTTGACAGTCGACCCCCGTCGAGGTCGCTCTCGCCGCTCTCGATGAAGGATGCCACCCTGTCGCCTGGGTCCGCGAAGCCATCGTCCGCGTCGCAGATCCTGACCTTTTTCGGCTGGCTCCTCGCCCTCCTGGGCTCCCTTGGCTGCTTCAGGTTACCTCTGCATGGAGGTGCCGAGATCGTCCTCTCTGGCGTGCCCAAGTGGAATCGCGGTGGTGGCAGCCGTGGCTCGTGTGGCTCGGTGGGCGTGATGTCCTCAATCGGCATCCGTGGAGGTGTGCTGGGGCAAGCCTCCTCGTCGCGGCTGAGGTCGATGAACAGCGTCGTCATGGGGGTTTTGGCTGGCTGTGATCGCTGTTGTGGGGTCTTGTTTGGCGTGAGAGGCGTGACGGGCGGAAAAAGTATGTGTCTTGGCGTGGGCTGTTCTGTCGGGATGGGTGAGTCGGCTGGTATCGTTGGTGAGAGTGAGGCGAGGTCTGTCGGGGCTTCGTCCTCCTTCTCCTTGCGCAGGCCTTGGTGGATCTTCGTCTCTTCGTCCTGCAGGTCGGCGTCGTCGGATTCGCCAATTGGGATGCAGTCGCTGCTCGCCCGTGCGTCGAGCAGCCCTGAGTGCGAGAATGAGCCGACGCTGTTGTGCTCCTCGATGTGCGGGCGCTGCTGAGGTGGTGGTGGAGGTAGCGGACACTCTTCGGCGGATGTCCTCGGCACGAAGCTTTGGTCCTGGAAGCTGAGGTCGTCGCACGACGAGAGGGTAGGCTCCTCTGGCGTTGGCATCGACGATGTGTGGGACCTCTCTCCAAATCCCACCTCGGCCAGCTCCTCGAGGTACGGCGGTAGTTCTGGGTGTGGAAGTTCGTACTGGCTAGGTAGTAGCCGAAGTAAGTCTGCCTCCAGTTGCTCCCTCTGGTACGCGCCCTCCTGCTCCGCCATGCCTTGGTCGCGCTCACTCGTGACTGGGTCTTCCATGAGGTCGTCCGTCATGTCGATTAGCAGGTCCTCGTCCACTTGTCCTCCTGCTCCCCAGGCGTCCCGTAGTGCGTTCTGGAGTCCTGCCGTTTGCAAATCATGTGCGCGTTGGAGGTCTTGTAGTTGCTGCTGCCTCTGTGCGTCGCTCATATACTGGTTGTGGGCGTAGTGCTGCGCCACGGCCTGCATCTCCTGCTGGTGCTGGTGCTGCAGAGTGCTGTGGTACTGCTGCGCCACTTGGTTCTCCACCTCCTGCTGATGCTGTAGTGCCTGGAGCTCGCTTGTGGCCGCTGCTTGTCGCTGCAGTGCCACCTCCTCCATCCTTTGGGCTTTGTCCACCGCCTCCTGGTGCTCCCCGACGCGCTCCAGGTACTTTTCCTGCTCGTGTTGCATCTCGTATGCCTTCGCCTGGATGGCTGCGTGCTCCAGGTTCAGGACGACCCGCATCGCTTCGCGCCTGTTGGCTTCCTCCTGGTGCTCGTAGGCCATCTGCTGGTAGTTCACTGCGATCCGCAGCTCCTCATCCTTGTAAGCGCTGCGACGGGCGCATCGCTCCTGGTACTCCGCCTCCGCCATCTCCTGCGTCGCCTTTTCGTTGTGCTCCTGCGCCATCTTGTACCACTGGGCCTCCTGAGCCGCCATCTGTCTCACAGCTTGCTCTTCCTGCCTGGCCTTCTGGACCTGCTGCGTGTAGATGGCTGCTCTTCTCTGGTCTTCCTTGTGCATCTCCTCGCGTAGTGTCTTCTTTTCCAACTCAATATGCATTTGCAAGTCCACGAGCATCCCTTTGGCCCTTTCCTCCTGTGTCCTCTGGGTGCCTCTTTGTGCTTCGTATGCTTTCGCTTCCTCCTCCTCCAGCTTGGCGTTGTGATGCCGCTTGAGCGCGTTAACCTCCCATGTGTGCCACTCCTCCTGCTTGGCCAGCTGCACTTCGGTCGTGTGGTACATCTTTTGCGCCATGGTCTGCTCGTAGGCCTTCAGCTCGCTTTTGTGCTTGCGCTCTGCTTGTGCCAGCAGGTCGCTTTGCTGCTGTTCCTTTTTCTGCTGCGAGTCGAGCCTCTCGGTCAGTCTCCTGATGGCGTCTTTGATCTCGTCTGGTGCTGCTGGGGCTGGCCTTGGCTGCTGAGCTGCTGAGGCTGGCTGAGCTGTGGCTGGCTGGGCTGTGGCTGGTGCCGCTGGAGCTGCAGATGGGTCGCGCCTCCTCCTCGCGGCCGGGTGTGGCGTGCGTCCTCTGGTGGGATCATGGCTCCCCTCTTCCTCTGACGATTCCTCCTTTACGCCCGCCGACTTTGCCATTTGATCTCTGGTTTCCCTCATCAGGGTCTTGTAGACCCTGATGGTTCTGGCGGCCGTCGCCTCCTGGTCGAGCATCTTGCTGAGCCGCTTCTCCATCTCGGCATGCTCCTCCTCCAGCTTTTCCAGCGTAGCCCTGAGCTGCTTCATGCGCTCTTTGTGGGGCAGGACGAAGGAGATGTTCGTGGCGGTGATCGCCGCTTCCTGCTCGAGGCTGGTTGTGCACAAACCCGCCAGCCTAGCGCCAGCGATGTTCTCGGAGAGGCGACCCAGCCTGTGGCACTTCGTCTTGTACCACACGAACCTCATCTCCTCGTCATCTGGTGGTGCGGACCAGCTCTCGTGCTCCATCGCGACGGCGAAGGAGACTGGCGTGATGCTGTCCAGGACTGCCTTCTGCTGGGGGCTGTACTGGAAGCTGCCGATGTAGGCTGAGGCAGGAGTGTCGAGCTGGTCCCTTCTTTTGCGTCTGCTGCTTCTCCTTCTGGCTGAGGCGCTCGTCCATGGTGCACTGTGCTTCCAGTGCTGTTCGCTGTCGCTTCGCTGCTGGTGCTGTGGGTGCTTTTGCTGGTGCTGGTGTTGGGCTGGCTGGTGGTGGTGCTTGTGGGTCTGAGGCTGCTGCTGCTGCTGCTGGCTGTGCTGCCGCCTCTGTGCATTGTGCTGCTGGTATCCGTTGCGCTGGCGCTGGTGGTGCTGGCTGTCATCGCGGGCCCACTCCCAGGGTCGCCCTCCGATGGCACCGATGTCTCCTGACCAGTCTCTGGCGCTGCTGCTGCGCCTGCGCTGGTGCTGCTGCTGCGCCTTCGTCGTCATCTCGCTGCTGCTGCGGCTGCGCTGGTGCTGCTGCTGGCGCTGGGGCTGCTGCGCTGAGTGGTGGCTGTTGAGGACGTTGGCCGCCTCCACCACGCGCAGCAGGACCCTCGCCGAGGAGCGGCGTGCCCTCTCCCGCCTGTGCCAGGCGGGCTCCAGAGGCGTCTGGCCCCACGTGGCGCGCCAGCGGGCGCGCAGCCAGGCGCAGGGTCGCGGCTGCGGCGTCGGCTATCGCCGACCCGCTGCGGCGCGCGAGCCCGGCCCCGCGGGCGGCCGATCACGATTGGCGTGAGTCGATCGGCGCGATCGAACGATCAGGCCGAACGGATGATCGTTCACGGCCCCGGCCCGCCAGAGGCCAGATGGGCTTCCGCCTCCTCCTCCTCTTGCTTCCTCCTTTTCGAGCCGACCAACCTCAGTAACTAAACTGTCCAGGGACCCTTCGCGGGGTCCATCCTGCATTCCGGATCGGCCTCTGACAGCCCCAGGGCCCGAAAGGGCCCCCAGACTCCGAAATCAAAGAGCAAACATGGCGCGATGTTCGCCGATCCTCCTCTCTCCCAGGTCTCTGGAGGCTTCCAGAGGTCCTCGGAGCCTCCAGAGGTCCGCAGAAGGCTGACATGTATCAACGCTTAAGAGCGTTGAATCTGGAACCTCGTTACTCGAACCTGGATCCTCCCTCCCTCCCTCGAAGTCCCGACCACCTTCAAGGAGGTCCCGACCTCGTCCAGAGCGCAAGTGTGGCCTCCAGACGCTGAGCTCGAGAATGAACAAGTCGGTTCCTGCTTCCAAGGCGGTTGGGCTCTTTGTTCCGCCTCCCCCCGCGCTCTCCGCAGGGCCCGGAACAGGTCCGACGCGGGGGCCGACAGGGCCGAAGCGGGGCGTCTCTTGATTGTTTGTTTGTTTGTTTGTTTGTTCCTCATCCCTCCTTTCGCACCCCTGGACAGGCGCGACGACGTCGACGACGAGGACGGCGAGTCCGACGAGCACGACGACGACGAGGACGACGAGGACGACGAGGTCGACGAGGTCGACGACGACGAGGACGAGGACGAGAACGAGGACGAGGGCGAGTACGAGGACGACGGCGACGGCGACGACGACGACGACAAGGACGTCGACGACGACGATGGCGACGACGGCGACGACGGCGGCGGCGGCGGCGGCGACGACGACGGCGACGAACGAAATCAGCGCGCCGAAGCCTCCTGCGAAAGAGGGCACGACATGAGAGACGAGGCCTTTTTCCCCCCTGGAGCAACCTGGGGCCACGACGACATTGGCGACAGGGGTCACGAAGATCAGGTCGGGCGAAATGAGTGGAGCAGGAAAGGGGGGTTACGAAACCTGCTGCATGCAGCTGGTTTGGCCGTTTCGTCTCCGCCGCCGGGCGCTTTCTTCGAGACATTGGCGCCTTGGGCGCCAGGAGGCGCCGGGGAAACTAGCCACGTGAGCTGATTCGCCGACCTTCTTCGATACCTCCCCTTCGCCCAACCCGCGACGACGTTGGCGACGACGCCCAGGCCCCGGGGCAGACCCTGGGACACGAGGTCGTCGGGATCGCGGACCAGGGTGCGCGGCTCTCGCTGTCGGCGAGGGCGGCGCTCCTCCTGCTGCGAGGCCCCGGTCGCCGCCTCCGCCTTCGCCGCCGCGGTCGCCTTCGCCTTCGCCTTCGCCTTCGCCTTCGCCTTCGCCTTCGCCTTCGCCTTCGCCTTCGCCGTCGCCGTCGCCGTCGCCGCCGCCGCTGTCGCCGCCGCCGCCGCCTCCGCCGCCTCCGCCGCCGTCGTCGTCGTCGTCGTCGTCGTCGTCGTCGTCGTCGTCGTCGTCGTCGTCGTCGTCGTCGTCGTGGTCGTCGTCGTCGTCGTGGTCGTCGTCGTCGTCGTCGTCGTCGTTTCGGGAGTTCATGGGCTTTTCTGCAGGTCTCCGTCGCCACGGCTGGACTCGGCTCGAAAAATCGAGCAGGATGGGCTCAGGAGGGGTCTGGGGACGGATTTTGAACGGATTTTGGTCAAACTGCGGACGACGGACGACGACGGATGACGACGACGGCAGGCGACGGACGACGACGGCGACGACGTCCGGCGCGAGCGATTGGCTCCTGATCCAGAGCGCCGAGCGAGAGCGAAGCCCCGCTGGAGGCGATCCAGACAGGTGAGGTTGACGCCCTGGTCGTGATGGCCAAGGCGGAGGTGGAACATGAGGAGGAGGAGGAGGAGGAGGAGGAGGAGGAGGAGGAGGAGGAGGAGGAGGAGGAGGATGAGGAGGAGGAGGAGGAGGAGGAAAAGAATGGGGAGTTGGAGGAGCAGGAAGCAACACGAGGAGGAGGACTCTGAGAACGCCATGAGCGGCAGCCGACGTGCCCTGCCTCCCGTGGAGCATCGTGCAAAGCCGACTGATGACCGCCGCCGAACGAACGACTGACGACTGACGACCGACGACCGTCGACGACGACGACGACGGAGAACGCACAACCGACGACCGACGAGGACGTCGTAGGGCTCACGTTGACTTCGACGCCGTACGACCGACGACCGCAGATGACGACGACGGCGACTACAGACGTCGGCGACGGCGACGGTGACGACGACGACGGTGGCGGTGACCACGCAGGACGACGACAACGACAACGAGGGAGGACGACTTCGAAGACGAATGTCGGTGGCGACGACGACGAGGACGTCGAGGGACGGCGACGAAGCTGGAAAGTGTCTATGACCCCACGCGGCGTGACAGCCGCCGCGCATACCGCGAGGCGCGACGACGCCTCTGCAGTGCACGGCAGAAAGAACAGATTCAAGAGATCTGCGATGGTAGGAGGTTGGTCGTCGAGCATCTTCATGCTTTTGCTCATGACAACGGAGTTCCCTGGACTAGGGAGAAGTAGTGGGGGAAGGAGTTGGAGACGGACCAGTTCTACGAACAGTACTTTGTTCTTCCCGACGTGGAGACGTTTGTCGTGTATTGCAAGAAATCGCGGATCGTCACGGAGATTCTCACCCCGGCAAAGGTGGGAGTTGATGATCGATGGGTGCATTGCTCACTAGACGACCTTACGAGGCATAAAGCTCAAAACCCACGATCAGCTGGGGAGGATGTCGAGGACATGGAGCAAAGGACCGAGGCGACCAACGACGACGTCTACGGCGCCCTCAATGAGGAGAGCCCGCCCCAGCCCTCAATGGGGAACAACAATTCGTGAACGTACCATATCAGTAATGCTGGACGACGCGGAGGGCGCTCACGCTGAGACCGTGTCATTCCGTGCGTCCCTCCGGCAAGTTGCGAAGCGCCAGCGGTCGAAGTGGGGGCGCCTGCGAACGGCGGGCTCAAAGAGAGGGTATAAAGCAGATGCGAGGCTTCGCTTCCCCTCCAAGGAGCCGTGCCCGTCCTCTCCCCCAGATTCGCAGCCGCTCGATCCGCGGAATGGAGCGCCATGTCATCAGCCCCCGCCGATGGATGCGACAAAGCCATTGACGAGAAAACGTGTCATCGAGGCCAGCAGGTCTGTGGCTCGAATGGAGCAAGTATACCTGTGTCTTCGCTTCGGATGTTATTGCACGACGTACAAGAGGTGAACGAAGAGTCGACGTTGAAGGCGGTGGAATCGTGCGATTACTGCGAGCAGCCCAACACGGCATTTCACATTAACCTGTGTGCGCCACATCAGCATGCATATTGCCACTGGGCCAACGCCTACCGACACGATGCTCCCGCCAAGTTCTCGGAACACGAAAAGGTGCTCTTCGAGCTATTGTGCCGATCTGAGATGCGCCGGGGGGCGGAGGGGCTGAGCGAAGAAGCTGACGGTTCGACGGTAACTGCAACGGGCGCGGGCCTTGCCTGGGACGAAAGGGGCCAGCCGTCCGTCGCAAGCGCGGAGGACAGGACCCGCGGCTATGCCGTGGGTTCCCTGCTTGTCCCAGTGCCCTCCGAATCTGCGCCGCCCGCGCAGGCCCAGGAACCTCTTGATGGCGCGACCCCCGACTCTGGACAGCCATTCTTCCGAAAGGGATCAAGCTTGGTGGACCTGGGGGCGTCCGACGAGGAGCAGCCCCCGCCCCAGCCGCCTTCCGGTGCCGGAGGTCGGGTCCAGATACCGCTCGCGGCTCTAAAGGACGCAGATGACAAGAAGTCGGATGGCGCCGGAGACGATCGGTTTGATGGTGCGGAGGAGACACCTGAACGGAAACCCAGGCTAATTCCCCTTGGCGTAATGTCCACGAGGCGTCCTGACACACCCATGTCGAAGCACTTCTGCCATGGAGTGGCCCCGACGCCGCCCAAGAGGGAACAGGTCTCGATATATGATTGCAAGCAGAGAAAATGGGAAAAAGGGAAACGGCCCACGTCGGGCTTGAGCACGCGAAAAAGAACGAGTGCGGCACCCCGCTCACTGAGGATGACGACGATGCAGGATTGCGGGCCATTGAGATTGAGCTGGCCCGGAAGCTGAAGAGCATCGTGACTCTGGCTCTGAAGTCTTTCGCAGACAGAGAAAAGCGGCGCGGTGGTTTCCAGAGAAGAACGCTGGAATGGTCACGTGATTTGGTGGGTGATGCGCAACTGGAGTTCCTGCGACGCCTGTCCCCTGAGGACGGGGCGATTGGGCGTCGATTCTTGCGCGCCTGCTACAGCGCGGTTGGGCCCCCCTGTCTCCCGACCCCCGAGATTGGCCGCGTCCCAATGAACGTGGCTGGTGACTTGCGCGCTTGCGTGGGATTCGGAAATGGACGTGGAAGAGGCTGGGCGCACTGGTTCGCTCATCGTTCGCCTGGCGGTGCATTCTGCAGCCCGCGTCCGCAGTTCATGAGGATGGATTGAGGCTGCCGTCATTCTCAAGATGCTGGGCGACGTGGGTTATGACGAGGTGTGGGCGCGCTTTATGCGTGCTCTTGCTCAGTTGCCGCGCCGTGCTGTCCAGGTACCTGGAGTGAACGCGGTGAATGTCGAAGATGGCCCCGCGGCTGAGCCAGAAGATTGGGGCACAAGTTTCGGGCGCAAGCCACCTGGCGTCGACCGTGGTGACGCCCGTGCCGAGAGTGCCCCTGCTGTTCCGCGCTTGCAAGGGTCACTCTGTTCGAGTTGTTGACCCTCAGCGCGTGTGCATCAGGTGTGATGCGGCAGCGAGGTGCTCGCGCCAGGCAATTGTCATTCCATTGGGCGATGCCTCGGTGCGAAGGTCTATGGCCGGGCGTGTTGAGCTACCGCAAAGGGACCTTCAGGGGGTGCGCCAGTGCCGTTTCCTGACCTGCCTGCCGACTCAGCTTGGGCCGCGCCCTACCCCTGAAGGCCCAGCCGACAGAGAACGTGAGCCGGGGTCGGGTTGGGCAGTTAAGCTGGCACGGAGAGCGCAGGAGGGTCAATGCGGTGAAGTGCGCGGGCAGCTGCCGACGCGATTTAGAGACCTAGAGGCTGGGCGCGGGCTGTGGCTGGCCAAGCGCTGGGTGCCAGTGTATTTGGTTTGGCGGATCCATGTCCCCTCTCGGGGCCCCGTGTGCTCGCCTTCGAGCCTGGCGGCTTCGAGGAGCAGGACATCTGGAGTCAACGCGACGGCTCCCTAGCGATTGTATTCCAGCCCGAATGGAGCGGCGTTCGTCGGATCCTGCGCCTTGCCGTGTCTGGGATACAGCGGATTCAGATCTCGTGGACTTTGGTCTATGACCGACGATGCGTTGCGCTTGGGGTTTTCCTTGATTTCGACGTGGCGTGTGTAGACTGGATCAAGCAGCGTCGAGTTCTCGTTCGGGGTACCTGGTGTCGATGACGATGATGCGCTTGCCTCTACTGCGGAGAAGACTGCGCTCTGCGCGCGACATCTCTGGGATGATGGCTACCTCCTGTGCAGCAGCGATTGCCGCAATCGGTTGGGTACGTTGAGTTTTCTTGCATGCAGGGCACCTGCTCATTGCGGCGCCTTCGTTGCTGACCCCGGCGTGATTCGGCCGGAGATCGACTGCCGAGACAGCGGTCCGGCCAAGCGGAATTCAGGGGGCTATGCCCCCGCCCCTGAGGCGCAGAGCGCCGGGGGGAAATGCGCGGGCTATGACGCCGACAGGGTGCAGGTGCGAGCGCAGAACAGATGGGGGGACACCGGCGAAGATGGCATCGGCGCAGAGAGAATTGCCTACAAGGAAAGACTGCGCTGCAAAGCAACATCATGGCGGTCTTTGCTTGGCAGCCAACGCCCCCGGAAGACGAGCTACCTGGGCAGCCGAACCCCTACGAACAGAGGGCCAGGAAGCTGGGTCACAGGTGGGTCAGCTCCAGAGCGTGCATCTCAAGACACCCGCCACTGGCAATAACGCTGTTGCCCCTCCATGGATGCGGCGGCCGTGCGTCGGCAGGAGGATGCTTGATGGCGGCAGCAACGCCATTTTTGACCCTCTTGCTTGGGGCTGTGATCGCCCAGAGGACCGCCGTCGCGAAGAGCCCAGACTGGGATGGTCCGCGTGGTGCAGAGAGTCCCCGCGGAGCGCTGAAGTCCTTTCGCTCAGTCAGTTGAAAACTGCCGTGGGATGGGGAATGGAGGTTTGCTGGCCGCCAGTAGAATTTCCGAGGGCTCCGTGGCCGTCAGCGCGTGAAGTAAGGGCCCTGGCATCGCTTGATTATGTCGGGGTAGGCGCCCCCCCCCTCGAGCGCAGTCTGCCAAGGGGGGGTGGAGGCCTAGCTCTATGAGGCCTGAGGGCCGTCCCGCGGCAGCAAGAACATCGGGCGATGCCGGGGGCGAGGGCGAGGTGGCCGGGAATGACGGCAAGGGGGCTGAGAGGGGAATCAGTCGCGCGCCAGATGACTGACAGGGATCCAGACGACGCCGAGCTGACAACCCGACCCAGTGGGGCTCGTGGTCGCTCGCGGGAGCCGCCTCTTCGAGCTTCGCCAGGGCAGCGGGGCCGACGGCAGCGAGAGATGTACAGCTGGACGTGCCCTGGCATAGCGCAGCCGACGCGTTGCGGCGCCGCGTGGGCGGCGTCCCTCCAGGGCGCGCGCGCGCCGACAACGAGCGGCATAATGCGGTTTCCATTCCCCCGTGGCGAGAGAACGCCCATAATTGGTGGTCGTCCTGAAGCTGGAGCGCAGGCGACTGGCAGGGCTGCAGCAGCTGGAGCCGCGATGGCCACGGTCGGGGTTGAATGGAAGAGAACGAGGGGCGCCTGCAGCCATGCTGCGGATGTCCCCTCGAGGCAAAACATTCCGTTTCAAGTGCGTCTAGAATGGATGAGATGAAACGCCTGGCGCTGCCGTGCTATGCCCTGAGCGCCCAGAGGTCTGCGAGCCAGGTGGCGGGCGAGCTGCCTGCCGGGCGCGGCGCGACGGGCCGGCTTATAAGCGAATGCGAGGCGCTGACAAGTCGTTGACGCCCACTCGCGCGAGTGGAGTTCGCCGGGGGTGCTGCGGGGGGAGTTGATTTAGTCGCGCCTCTGCCTTGCCTCAGCATCATTTGCTGACTTTTAAGGAAGCTGTCTTGGCTTCGGTCGCTTGAAGAGATTCGGCCCGCCCGCCCGCGCGTCCGCCAGCCGGTCGGCCCTCCTCCGAGTATCGTGACCCCAGCCATAGTTTGACGGCGTAATACCATTCTAAACCAAGGCTACAAGAAGTACGCGACGCGTGCCTTCTTGCACTCCTGTGGCGATGTGGCCCTCGGAAGGGTCTCGTGTCCTCTCGCGTGTCCTGCCCACTCGAGTCCGACTGTGCACGCTTTGCCGTGTAGCGGGCTGCGAAAGCTCCCCTCCTGACGGAGAACTAGCAAAACGTTCGTCATTTCCGACTTCCTACCCGTCCCTTCCAACCCTTGTAGATATCCTTTCTATTCGCGCAGTCGGATGTCGAGCAGGGCGATGATCGCTAGAGGGTGCGCGATGCGTGGTATAGCGCGGCGTGGCGTAGCGTAGAGTAGCACGGCAGAGCGTAGGATACCATGACATGACGTGGCATTGCGCAGTGAAGCATTGCATCACAAAGCGTTGCAACGCATAGCATGGCATCGCACAGCGGCGCATAACACAACGCCGCACGTCATGTAATTGCATGGCGTTGGGTTCCTTGAAGGGTGTCGCCTTCGGGACGTCTAGGCCGGTCTGGACACGTGGGTCCATGTCGAGCCCTTTGGGCTCCTTGAAAGCTTCGCAGGGTGGGGCTGATGGAGAGCACCCGCTGGCTCTCCTTTCAACAGCGTCTTCTCGAAACAGACGCGGGGCGCCTGTTTAATACTTTCTGAAATCGACGACGCCCCAAAGTGTGTGGGGCTTTTGTGGCCCAGAAATCAACGACACCTATTGTGTAATCGTTTCCGAAGTTTCTTTTCGGGGGCGTTTTCTCTGCTAATTTAGAAGGGCCGAACACGCCCGCGCTGCAGCGGGAACACGACTGGAACAACCAGAAGCGTAGAAATGGGGCCAGCGTTTTAGCGGGAACAACATTTCGAAATAACATCCAAGCGAAAACCCAGTTTCCGGAAATTTTGTGTGTAAAATATCGGTACGCGGAGGGGGGCCAGATATCTTCCGGACGTCATCGGGGGAGAGGAGGGTCGTATTTTATAGTGTAATTGGAGGCAGGCGGGGCAGGACGGTGGGAGGGAGGGCTTCGCAAAAGGGAGGGAGAGGGAGGGGGGGAGTCCGCCGCGCCGCGCTGCGCCAGGCAACCCGCAGGCCCTGGAGCTGCAGCGGAGAGTATTAGAAACTTCAGGCACCGAGGGGGGAAGGACCTTCCTCCTTATCCTCCTGCGGGTCGTCGTCGTCGTTGTTGTCGTCGTCGCCGCCGCCGTCGCAGCCGCCGCCGCCGCCGCCGCCGCCGCCGTCGCCGTCGCCGTCGCCGTCGCCGACGTCGCCCCCCCGTCCCCTCTCATCCCCTCCCCTCCCCTCCCGTCCCCTCCCTTCTTGCCTCGTTCCCTCCCTCCCTCCCTCCCTCCTTGCCTTCCTCCTCCCCCTGCTGGTGCTCATGCTCCTCGTCAGGCTCCTGGTCCTCCCGCCCCTGCTCCCGCCCCTGCTCCTCCGTCTTGCGCCCCCGCGGGCCGCGGCTGCGGTGCTCATGCTTGCGCCGCCTGCCGCTGATGCCTCCTGCCGGTTTCGCCGCCGCTCCTGCCGCGGCCGCCGCCGCCGCTCCTGCCGCCGCCGCTCCTGCCGCCGCCGCTCCTGCCACCATCGTTTTTGCCTTCGCCGCAACTCCTGCTCCTGCCGCCTTTGCCGCCTCCTCCCCCTCCTCCTCCTCCTCCTCCTCCTCCTCCTCCTCCTCCTCCTTCTCCTCCTCCTCCCCCTCCTCCTCCCGCGGTGCGCGACTCACCGCCCCCTTCCTGCCAGGCAGGTATGCCGTGCTCGCCCCAATCGTTCTGCAGTTTTGGGGATGGCGAGGAGGGCGACGGCGGCATGATCACGGGGAGAGGGAGAGGGGCAGCAGCAGGCAACCACACCACACGTGAACTCTACCCCGGGGGGCTCGGATCGCGAGCGGGCAAGAGCGAAGTACTCCCACGTCGGTGGACGACTACGGGTCCATACCACCTGTCGGCGGGGCTAGTGTTCGGATTTTTTGTTTTTGTAAAAAAAAAAAGAAAAAAGAGAAAGCCGCGGCGGCAGCAGCAGGAGCGGCAGCGGCACCAGCGGCACCAGCACCAGCAGCGGTAGCAGCGGCAGCAGCGGCAGCAGCGGATGCAACGGCAGCAGCGGCAGCACTGGCAGCAGCAGACACAGGCCAGCCTGCTTTGATGACAGGAGGAGAAGTCGTTTTTTCCATTGCAATGTGTGAGCGGCAGCTGCGGCGGCTGCGGCGGCATCAGCAGCGGCCGCGGCGGCCGCGGCAGAGAAGGACCAATGTAAACCCGAGACGCGTCAACGATGTTGCAATACACCGTCCTCAAAGTTCCTTCTTCATAGGTCCTTGCATTTCGGGAAGTGGCCCATTAGAAGACAACCATGCCGCGACGCCAACACGCAGTCCTTGGGACGTCAACGCCGCGAATCAACGTGAATGTTGCGTCCTGACAATTCTAACTTGTGCCATAATGCCGTTCTTGGGATTTTGGCCATACGAATCTTTGGAAATGTTGGAAACTTGAAGTCTCAGCGAATGTGCGAGGCGCTAATGAGAGAGCCACATTTTGAAAAATAATAGCGCTGCATCCTCGAAGCGACTTGGAACTTTCAAGACGAATGTTCGCGACGCTTAGGCGAGAACCGCATTTTGAAAACGGCCCGCCGTCCATCAGTGAAACAGTTGCAAGCTTTTGGAACGAACGTGCGTGGCGTTAAGGCGAGAACAGCATTTGAATACGTTCAGCCCTCCATCCGTAAATCAGGTATGAACTTTGCAAACGAATGTGCGCGGACAAGGACCCGCCCTCCATCCGTGAAGCTTCTGTATATACTTTGTTCACCTGTTAGGGTGTGGGTTAAGCAGAAGCTGGGGTACTCGTGGGGACATTCATTTTGGCTCCATACCCAGTGGCTCAAGGACCCCCTGGTGAGTTGGGTGGTTAAGTGGGCCTTTAAAATAGGCCTCACGGCACGCATCCCAGGCGCATGATCATGATCTGGGCCGTCCGTGGTCTCATATTGGAATTCGCGGGCCTGGCCAGCCAAGCAGAAAGTTGGCCACCTGCGTGGGCTGGGCGGTTGAGGGCCCCAGCTCCGAAGGCGCAGCGCAGCCCGCGAGGCCGTCAGGTCCAGCGGGCGGCGTGTGGGGTGTGCGGCCTGGTGGCCCGGGACCCCCCTTCGGCGAACGGAAAGGGGCCCGCCGCCAAGGCGCAAGGCGTGGCGTCACCCGCCCCCCCATGGGTGCCAGTGGCAAGGAGCGCGGCGCAGGGCAGGCGCCGCCGCCCGCCGAGCCGGCAAATATTGCTTCCAGGTGCGAGTGGGGTAGCGCTGGGGCCTGGAGCCCCCCCCCATTGGCAGGGGGTGGCAACGGCCATGGCCCGACCAGGCCCGCTCCCTCAGGGCGCGGCGGCAGTGGCCCAGGGGCAAAAATGGTTCTGGCTGGGGGTTGGCAGGCGAGGGTCCCCGCTTGGGCGTTGGGCTGGGCCTGGCTGGGGCAGGCCCCGCCACCGGGCACGAGCCCCCGCCCGCCGCGGGCGGCTCCCCGCCCCAGGCGCCGATGGGCAGTTGGAGCTATTTGCGCTGTGCCTGGGGGTTGGGGCTGCTTCAGTGCGCCGAGTCGCCCAGGTACACTCGCTACCGCCTGGGGCTGGATGGTGCAGGCGGTGGGCGGGCCTCTTGGGCCGTCTTGGGACGGCCTTGGGGGCCGCTTGGGCCGTCGGGTCAGGTTTCCATCGTGCGCCGCCTTCCCTGTACTTGTCGTGAGATTCGCAGACAGTCTCAAGTTGGAGTGGTGAGACTCTGTTTCTCTGGCCCTGCTCGCATGCGTGTCCCTGTCTGCTGTTCCTCCTGTATCTTCCTGCTCCCTGTTCTTTCCCTGCTGGCGCCCGCGAGGCTCGGTTTGGAGGCCGCCTTGCGTGCCAAAGGCGCCCTGTGGCTACAGCCCCGGGCGTAAGTGTGGGTGCCGCCCAGCTGGACAGGCGGCTGTGCGGCGTCCATCCTCCGGTTTTCATCTCTTCTTCAGTTTAGTGCGTGTGCTACCTCAACGAAACGTTTCAGACGAATGTGCGCGGCGCCAAGGCGATAACCACATCTTGAAACCGACCCGCCCTCCATTAGGTGCAAACTTGTAATTCCCTACCTAGGCTCTGTCTAGAAGGGTTCTTACTCTATATCTTAAAGGGGCCGGGCAGTTCGAGGAGCGCGACCAGCTCCAGGAACTCCCAGCGGCGCGGGCCGCCCGTGCATCCCGCGCCGTCGCCAGGCCGGTCGACGAGTGGCCAGAACCACGTGCGCAAGTGGAACGCGCGGAAACGACAGATGATGCCGTTACTCCACTGTCAGCGGGACGACGACCCGACGAAGTGCAGGAGTTTCTTCCCGCGGACCACGTGGCAGGTAGACAAGACCGCTCTTCTGTGCAAGGGCTTCCTCAAAAGTCGCGCTATGCCGAGGACGGGCCGGAGAGACGTGACCGGGTGTCTTCACGGGCCGCAGAATGAGGAGAATCTGAACGGCGCGCTGCCTGCAATTCTGAGCGGCGGTGTGGGCCTCAACTCCAATTCGGATTTGCAGTTGCCGTATCGGTTTCCAATGCTGGAAGAAAAGCACGACGGGGCGGTGTGCGAAGAGAGGTGCTGGGAAGGGGCGCAGGCGAAAGACATTGTTCTTGCTGCGCAGCGCGCGCGAAACGCGCAGGCAGGCTACGCTTGTGACTGCGGGGCGAAGCGACTGGCGACGTCGGTCAATGAGGTGAAGGAGATCAAGAAGGGCCATCACGCACTGAGTGAGAAAGTGACAGAGAGGAGTGCATCGTGCGTGGCACACAGGCGCATCACTCGCCTCCTGTCGGACTTGTGCGGGAAAGGAATCGTGCGTTCAGCGCAGGAGAGCGAACCCGCGCGCATATGGGGATGCGCGAGACGTAACGGCCGCAGAGAGCATGAACACAGCGAAGACGGCCATTGTCCCTGGGTTCGATGTTGCACGCCTCGTCGAGGGAGAGTGCGGCGTGGCGTCAGAGCGGTCGGGGCCAGGGCGGTGTCATATTGAGCGCGATGGGAGGCGTGCGAAGAGGCCCCGGGTAGTTTCGAAGAACCCAGCAGGGCTGTATGGCATGAGGCCGTTGGAGTCGGCGTGGGCTCCAGAGCTCAAGTTTTTGTCAGTGTATGAATTTTATCGGTATTGGCGAATCGAGCTGACGCGGTTTTTGACGAAGCCGAAGAGCAAACAAGAGGAAGGCGAAAGCGACGAAACAGTGCACCACGCGGTTCTCACACCCGCCGGCAGAGCGAAATTAGAGCGAGCGAAATGGACAATCGGGGAGGGGCTTCCGTTGACCGCTGGGAAGGATTACGTCGTTCGAGGGGATGGATGTGAGAGCTGGGTGGCGTTTCCAGACGTTCCTGGCGTGGGAACGACGCGCCACAGGTGGGTCCTCGTGCGAAACGAGCGCCCGCGGAACCCGAGCTTCCACGGTGCGCCGCAGCCGAAGCACAGGCCCGGTGAGGAAGACAGGCACGGGTTGATACTCATGGCGTACTTCCGCCCATTCACGTTGCAGACGTCGGCCGTGGACGCAGTGTCCCGCGTGTCTGACTGGTGCGCGGACGGCCGGTCTGCGGGCGTAGTGGCACGGGAGTGGCTAGACGGGGGGCTGACGTGCGAAGAGGCGAAACGATACGTGCAGAATTGCATGAACGTGGTTGACATGCGGCCAGAGGGGGAGGAGTCGGGTTGGAAGCACGAGGATGACCGTTTCAGCGACGAAGACGTGGATGTCGATGACATCGACGACGAAACAAAACGCCGGGCACATGTAGGGGGCACGCGCATGGAAGACGAGGCGCGGGGGACGACTGAAGCAGTGGCGGATGCTCGGCGACAGAGTGCGGAAGCCATGGTTTTGTCTGCGCGCGTGTGGAGGCGGCTTCCAGGCGGCGGCGGGGATTCGCCGGAGGGCGGGTGGGCGCGAACAGACGGTCGCGAGGAAGTGCCGGGCGCGGAGTTAAAGCGTAGGGAAGCGGAGGCGAGGGCGTCGCAAACGAAAGAGAGTGGAGACCCCCTGGCGGCATATGAAGGGGAAGACGGGCGCATTGTGTCCGGGCCGGCTGGGGCCGCGCGGGAGGCGAGGAAATGGGGGGCGAGCCTCAGCGGGCC